CATCCTTCTGGGTACTCAATGACATGCACGAGGGTAGGGCTGATTCAGGGCTCATCCAAGAGCTGCCTGCCATCACCGACCTTGTTCTACGAGCGACAAAGGTGACTGCACACTCTCTGGGTCACGAGGCTGAGCAAACCTGCTTCCTCAACACCCCCATATTCAAGGCTGGCATCTTCGGTGGCGTGGTCGAGGACTCTGCCCAACAGTTCTCGGCCGCCCAGAAGCAGACTGAGGCTACCAAACATGTTCTGACCCCGCTGCCAGCTGCTGCCACCCGGCCGCCGGCTCAGACGGCTCAGTCCATTTGCCGCCGAATGCGCCCTGCGGAACTTCATTGTCCTGAAGAAATCCGGAGGGTTACGGCCAATCCTGGACCTGCACATTCTGGACCGCTTCCTTCACAGTCTGCTGTTCAAAATTCTCATGGCCAAACACATATTTGAGTGTGTGCGGCCCCATTCTCCCTCGACACAGACAGTTCCTGCGGTTTGCTTTCGAGGGGCAGGCATACCAGTACGTGGTTCTCCCGTTCGGGCTAGCCCTGTCTCCTTGCGCCTTTACGAAGGTCGCATTCTGAACTATCTCGACGACTGGGAGAACCTAGCTCATTCTTGAGACCAGGTTTGCGAACACAGGAACCTAGTGCTCCAGCACCTAGCTCGTCTGGGCCTTCGGGTCAACTGGGAGAAGAGCAAACTCTGCCTCATGCAGAGGTTCTCTTTTTTCGGTATGGAAATCGACTCGGTCGCCATGTCCGCGCAGCTTGCTGACTGCTGACTTGCCAGAGACAATTCAAGGGCAAGAGTGCGGTTCCACTGAAACCATTTCAGAGGCTCCTGTGGCAAATGGCATCTGCAGCCACAGGCAAAGCCGTTCGGATTGCTTCATATGAGACCGCTTCAGCTCTGGCTTTGCGACCGAGTCTTGAGGTGGTTAGGCCTACCACTCATAAGCAGTGTGGAACCTGTGTTAGGCTGGGTCCATACTTCTCCCTCCCTACTGCCCGGTCATCCACCCAGTCATATGTGTATTCTCCATGTTACCTCCCTCCGGGTTGGATGTGGCTTCCGCAGCATCCCTTCCCTCCAATGTACGGGGAACGCTTTCCTAGTGGTCCTGTAGGAACAGCAGTGACTTCCCTGGCCTTTTAATTGCCTTAAAATTGCGGGGGCATCAGGAGGCTTTTGTCTAGGCACTGGAAGGTGGCAGCTTTAGTGGCGTTTTCAAAGGTTATTCCCGTTCAGTTGACTACGTCCAACGTTATCAACTGAAAGGGAATCTCCTGGTTGTGTATGCAACCCACCGTTCCCTGAAGGAGGGAACCGAGGACGTAGTCCTCTTGCCACTAACGCTGGACCACTGCTGACTCCAGTTTAGTTGCTTTTTCGCAGAGGAGCCAAGCGTAGTGTCACGCACGCCAATTCCATTTGGCTTGTTCAATAGTACTCAAAGATTATTGGCTCTCTGACGTGATCTCCATTCAGTCGTCCATTGACTACTTCCTACGATCCCTGTGGGTTGCATACGCAACTAAGACGTTTCCTTTTTATTCTCGAGTCCTTTAGTTTGTTAACTGGTTAGGGAAATAACACACTAAAAACTGTTTTCAGATCACATAAACCTGGAACAAACTTTAAAGACAATGGACAAAACACAAGTCTTTAATGCGACATTAATGTTTTCCATGTGTACTCGGGTTATCTAAATGTCTAATTGGACTGAGAATGCCAACTAAGCCATGGGCAACTGCATTTTTTATATGACAACAGAGGTCTTGAACAATTGATCGAATGAGGAACTGGTTTATGATCTGATTTTTTTTTTTATAATTGTATTAAATTAACAGGTCACACTGGGAGCTCTAATAGGAAGAGGTTTGAAACAACATTGTGGCCAATTCAGTCATTTCAATTTATTCTCCATTTGCTTTTGACAGCTTATTTCACATATTGCCAAAGCAAGATTTCGGCATCCTGTCAAAACTTGGAGCTGTTCAGAACATATCTTTAAAAATTAAGTCTCTGAAAGCAGCTCGCACACAGACTATTCACAGAAACAGGCTATCATGAGGTAGTTAAGTGCATCCATATTTGACATCACTCTGTTTATCATTATAAGTGCACAGCTTCTTTGTTTAGGAAAAGCAGCCAAACCCAATTATAAGAGAGAAGTTGAAGCGTTATTGTTTTTCTTTAATTCAAAAGTAAAGATCAAATGTGAAACCACTGCATAACTTCCTCAGCTATTGCTTGAAGTCATGTGGGTTAAAAATGTTTTCCTGTAATGGCTCATGACAATGAACAAAAACTGCTGAATTGTTTCCATTCACAAATCTACAAATTGTGCCAAAATAAAACATTAAAAAGTGTTTAATTTTGGTGTTTCATATACTTTTGAAAAATGAATGCATATCTTGCCATTTTTATGCAAACTATTTAATGCCATTAAATATTAATGGTATAACATTAACAGTTAGGAGAGTCAATAAGCTATTGTAGAACAGAGAACTGAATGACCTCAGAAGGTTTATTGGTGGAGAAATGCTGCCAGCCATTGTAGTGGACACCACCCATCATTAAAGTCTCCAATATTATTCTCTATCACTTACATGAAGATCTATTGCCGCCAGATAGACACAATAGATGTATTGTTTTCAGATGAGCATCCTGTCTCTGCATTTAAAAATCTTGGTGAAGTTTTCTTTTTCGAAACCCCAAACAGTATGTTTTATAACATGCAAATAATTCAGCCCAAACTGTTTAATTTACAGAGCTCACTCATACTTTGTTTCGTAGATAATGTCAGTCTTTGGCCTTCTGTCCATTTGTCATTTTGGAAAGTGGAAAGTGTAAAGTTCTCTGCATGATCTACTGACGATGCACAAATTAAAGGACAGACACAGCCGGATAATAATAACCAACACAATCTACCAAGAGCAGCGCAAATTAGTGTCTGGTTTAAGACATGCTTTTTTTGGGAGGTAAATAATGGCGCAAATACCAGTAAATTGACTAGCGCAAACCTTAGTAAATCACATTACGTGAATTATTTAAATACTCTCCTCGCATTAATTTTGTGTCTAAAAGAGGAACACCTTCAAATGCATATGCAATAAGGTCAGCCATAAAAATAACTGTGTCCAAACCTTTTCAGCACTCCTTCGGATGAGATGTTAAACCGAGGCCCTGACTCTCTGTGGTCATTAAAAATCCCAGGATGTCTTTCGAAAGAGTAGGGGTGTAACCCCAGCATCCTGGCCAAATTTGCCCAGTGGCCTCTGTCCATCATGGCCTCCTAATCATCCCCATATATATACATATATACATACACACTGATTGGCTTCATCACTGTCTTCTCTCCACTAGTAAGCTGGTGTGTGGTGGGCGTTCTGGTGTATTATGGCTGCCGTCGCATCATCCAGGTGATACAGCGCACTGGTGGTGGTTGAGGAAGTGCCTGGAAAAGCATATATAAATGTAATGAATTATTATTAATAGTATTATTATTATTAATTGTAAATGCATGTCTTTAGTCAATTCCAGACAGTTTTTTTTTTTTAACGCCAGAAGAGTATTTGCACTGGCGCAAGCTGTTAGTATATCTGGCACTAAATTGCAAATAGCCTTCTTTCTTCTATTTACATACTGAATCATGATTGTTCCCTTGCATAGATGCATTCCATCAATTATAGCCGCCTTCATACTACTGTTGATTCTTGAGAGAAGCTGACTGAAAGATAATGAGAATATATTGCTAGCGGATATATAGTATTTCATGGTAACATTTTATGTTACGACCCGCAAACAACTGCGCAAGTAAACCGAAATTACGATGTACGTTTCTGTAGTGTACCTCCGTGTAGGTAAAAGAGAACAATATGTTATGTTTTGGGTAATAAAGGGGTACAACCAGATATACAAAAAAAATTCTTTATAATGTAATTATTTTAAAACAGTACCTATTCTGTTAATATATTCCAGGCAAAAATTGTACATCTGTTGTATATAAAAGTTATCATCACATTTCTGGCAAAATATGTTCTTGTGCAATTTTACAGGGTAATTTTGACATCTGTGTGTATATATATATATATATATATATATATATATATATATATATATGAAGAGTTCAGATGCAAAAGCCTCTAAATGCCATTTGAAATTTTCTTCTAAAATGACCATTTTTATCAAGCTTGTATATTTAAGTTCAGTAATTTCACTTAAATGACAATTAATAGGTAATCTTCATTGCCATTTAAGTGAAATTACTGAACTTAAATATACAAGCTTGATAAAAATGATCATTTTTAGAAGAAAATTTCAAATGGCACTTAGAGGCTTTTGCATCTGAACTCTTCATATATATATATATATGGCTGTATGTAAGCACAGTATGATAAAAATTGAATTTATTGGCTTTTCTTAGATTACTTACTGCTATGATTTTAATCTAGACCAAACCATGTAATCTAGACCAAACCATGACCAAACCAAACCCTTATCACATTGTATTGCAATGACACTTAAATGTCAGGGCAAATATACTGTTTAATTAAACTTTTTTTTCTTTTCATAATAAGAGTACCTTTCTCTGTAATTACTGTGCAAAGTGTTGTTTCGTATTGCTACATAGTAAGCGTTTGTTACCCCCTTGTTCTGTGTAGTTACAGGGTAAGTGTAACTCCTGCGGGCTGTAAAATAAAGTGGTGCTTGTTATATATATATATATATATATATATATATTTAATTTTCAACCCAAAGATGTCAAAATTACCCTGTAAAATTTTGCCAGAAATGTGATTATATACAACAGACGTACAATTTTGCTTGGAATATATTAACAGAATAGGTACCTGTTAGTTTTAAAATAATTACATTATAAATAATTTGCTTGTATATCTGCTTGTTACCCCTTTATTACCCAAAACGTAACATATTGTTCCCTTATACCTACACGGAAGAACACTATAATTACAGAAACGTACACCGTAATTTCAGTTTACTTTTGCAGTTGTTTGCGGGTCATAAAATAAAGTGTTATCCATTTCATTTATGCGAAAACAAACGTACCTAAACATGATATCCTTATATCCATCTTCATTACAAACTGTTGCAAAACGGGCTGTTATTCAACACACAGATAAAACGTTTAAAAAATAAAAGAAAAATTCTGGGTTCAAATTCTAAGGTTTATATAAAAAAGTATTTAGGTATTTTTTTTAATTTGTAAAGTGGTTACATAAACTGAGTCACTCTTAAAATAAAATTGACATTCCCAATTTATACTTTAATATCCTTTTGCTGCAAAGAATATTACAAATCAGATGAACCTGTGCATAATACTGCATAGTGTGTATATGTGTATCTGTGCATGGGAACGTGTTGCTATGTAATGTTCAAATGAACTTTTCTCTGAGGGTGCATCTTTGGCTTAACGGTTGAGGGCGTGAGCATGTTGTCACATCTGTAGGTTGTCAACGGCGGCTGAAATGATGAAATCACAGATCCCGTCCATGATGTAGGTCTCAGAGGTGGCACGCCAGCATCTCAATGCGACTGATGTAAGACTTTCATTAGTCTGCAGGATCGGTGGACTTGAGGCAAGAACTGAGCCATAGGGTAAATTCCACACTTAAGGGAGAAGAGATTCGGCCGGATGAAACAAAGCCAGTTTTCCATCGAGTGTTCCAGTCAACAGCTGTGAAAAAAAAAAAAAAAAGACTTTACTCATGAAACATCCTGTTACAGCGTGAATTAGTTCATGATAAAACTCTATTCTGACTATGAGGTCCTGAATGATTCAAATGAACTAAAGTAACTATGCAGTTATTAATTCCAAAAGTGCCGTTTCACATAATCAATGGCATAGTTTCGTGATCAATTATTAAAGCACAACCACAGACAAAACAGGAACATAACAACACATCTGCCGTCTTAATGACAGAGTCAAAGGGTTGATGGTTTTCATTTATTTATATTTGCCAATAAAAATGTTCTGAAGCTTTTATGTCCTGCACTTTGAATGCTCTCCTGAAGACAATTAGGCCTAGCTATTTAGTTATGAAACCCCATTTTATTCAGCAGTTTGTTAACTGGAATCCCAACAACTCTGAATTTTCAACTAACTCTCTATATCTTTTAAAAGCTTCAGTAAAACTTTAGAAGTGTCTTGTGACATGCAGATGTGTTTACCCATGTACATATTATTGTCCTTGTACATTTAAAGGTGCAGTAAGCGATTTCTGAGAAACAATGTTTATTTTTGAAATCAACCCAAACAAACACACCCCTCCCTTGATTGCTTCGCCCCCAAAATGTATATACATTTAAATACACAAGTACAATTTAAGAACTGGTAATCATTCCCAGTCCTTTTTAAAATAAGTTTCTAGAGACTCACCATTTCTAACAAATTGAGTGGTTGCACTTTATTTTACAGTACTGGTAATACAGTATAAGGTAACTACTGTACATGGGTTAGTTAGGTTTAGTGAGGGGTTCGGTGTTAGTACCTAGTTATAGTAATTGATATAATAAGTGCATAGTATGAACACGCGGAACAGGACTGTTAAATAAACTGCTATGTCGGGATGTGGTTTCAACTACAGCCGCCTGATGTTAGAATGCCACACTGATTTGTTGTCAGAGGTCTAGTTGAATACCATTACCCTGAGTCGTTGCGTCAATTTATCTGCCGATAGGCCCGGGAAAGGATGGAATAACTGGAGTACCATGCAGGAAATCGTTGAAGGTGAATTTATTGAGGACAGCTGTCTCAGCACACGTGCTCCAAATCAAGTTCAAAAATAAACAAAAGAAATCATCAAAAAAATAATCAAAATAAACATTACAAAACATAAATAAAACATGCTGAAAGCAGCAAAAACATGGCATCAAATCCAGCCTCGCGGAACAAACCTCTGACAATCACGACACATCCTACAGCATTGGACTGTACTAGTACTGGCACATGGCCCGTCTCTCCCCACTCAATTAGCCTCACTCCTTTATATATGCTATTTTCCCGCCAAAACTAGTGGGTCATACCAACTGTAGGGGTCGAATAACTCCCCTGACAATGGAAACATTCAATATCAGTGTTCTTGCATTTAAATCCAAACAGATACATAATCACAAATAATATCCTTAATCAAAAATAAACAATATGAAAACAATTATAACATTAAACAAAAAGACAATGTAAACAACAACACTGTGAACGGATGTTCACATGGTGATAACCTACAGGTTCATCATCACACACCCCCCTTCCTCTAAACAGTCACGACCTCAGGAGTGACGTGACAAAAAGTCAGCCATAACATTAAGCACTCCTGGTCTATATTGGATTTCAAATTTAAAAGGTTGCAGGGATAAATACCATCGTGTTATTCTTGCGTTAGTGTCTCTCATTCTCTTGAGCCATTGCAATGCTCTGTGATCGGTCTCAAGCACAAAGTCTTTACCAATCAGATAGTACTTTAACGTGTCCAAGGCCCATTTGATGGCTAGGGCCTCCTTCTCCACTGTGGAATACTTAGTCTCTCGGGGAAAAGTTTTCTGCTTATGTACTGAACTGGACGACGGTTTTCTCCTTCCCCCTGTAACAGTACTGCCCCCAGTCCCAACTCAGATGCATCCGTTTGTACCACAAATGGCAACTCAAAGTTCGGACTTTGTAACACAGGGTCTTTACATAAACAGGACTTAAGATCTTGAAAGGCACGTTCACATTCAGGTGTCCACTTGACTTTAGTGGAACTGCTTTTCTTTGTAAGTTCAGTCAGTGGTGCTGCTCTGCTGGCAAAGTTAGGTATAAACCTTCTGTACCAGCCGATCAAACCTAAAAAGGATCTGACACTTTTCTTCGACGATGGAGGTGCACATGACAAAATTGCTTGTAGCTTGTCCACTTGAGGTCTCACTGAACCTCCTCCAGCAATGTATCCCAAGAAAGAAACTTCCTGTCTGGCTATCTGGCATTTCTTGGCATTTACCACCAGACCTGCCCGCTGAATTCTTTCAAACACCTTTGTCAAGTGTTCCTGATGCTGTTCCCAAGACTCGCTAAAGATGACGATATCGTCAATGTATGCTGCTGCAAAGCTGTCCAGACCCCTCAGCACTTGATCCACCAGGCGTTGGAAGGTTGCTGCGGCCCCGTGCAGACCGAATGGCATATACTTAAAATGGTATAGCCCTGCTGGAACACGAAAAGCAGTCAAGTTCTTAGCAGAATCAGTTAAAGGAACTTGCCAATATCCTTTGCACAAATCTAACGTTGTTAAATACTTAGCTTTGCCTAGTTGTTCGATCAACTCGTCGACTCTCGGCATCGGATAAGGGTCGAAAGATGATACTGCATTCAGTTTCGAGTAATCAACGCAGAATCTGAGCGTGCCGTCTTTCTTGGGTACCAATACCACTGGGCTGCACCATTCACTTGTTGAGGGCTCGATGATATCAGACTCCAGCATCATTTGCACTTCCTCTTTCAAGGCAGGGATCAGGCGTGCTGGCACTCTGCAGTGACTTTGCCTGATCGGCTCTGTTGCAAGCAAACGAATATCGTGATGCAAAAGTTTTGTTCTTCCTGGTTTGTCAGAAAAGAGACCCCCTGGAACTAGACTCTGGAACTCTTTTTGCTGTTTGGGTGTTAGATGATCAATTAGTGGGAAAGTTGAATTTGAACTAACAGGAAAATATTGTTCCTCCAATTCCTCTTCATCCTCCACTTTCCTCGCCCACAGCTGCTCTGACCATGAGCCTTTTCTCTCATTCCAAGGCCTCAAAAGATTAATATGGAAGATCTGAGACTTTTTTCTACGGTCAGGTACAGCAATCTCATAATTTGTGGGACTCAGCTTTCTAAGCACTTCATATGGCCCTTGCCATTTGGCCAAAAGAGAACTTTCTGTAGTAGGGAGCAATAACAATACCCTCTGCCCTGGGCTCAGTGTTCTTTTCCTACTTGACTGATCATACCAATGTTTCTGTTGCTGCTGTGCTTTTGTCATGTTAGCCCTCACAACCTCGGCCATTGAGTCCAATTTCTCCCTCATCTTCATGACATATGACAAAATGTTTGTTTTCTCACGTGCATTATCTCCTTCCCAAGCCTCTTTTAGCACATCCAACGGTCCCCGAACCTGACGTCCATATAGCATCTCGAATGGCGAGAAGCCTGTTGATGACTGTGGGACTTCACGATAAGCGAACATCAAATACGGCAACCATTGGTCCCAATCAGTTCCTGTATCAGACACAAACTTTCGTAACATGTACTTCAAGGTCTGGTTAAACCTCTCCACCATACCATCGGTCTGAGGGTGATAAGGAGTGGTCTGGATAGGATGTATGCGCAACATTGAGCAAACTTGTTTCATTAACTTAGACGTAAAATTAGTACCCTGGTCTGTGATTATCTCTTTAGGCAATCCTACTCGAGAAAAAAGTTGAACCAGTGCATTGACAACCTGCCTTGTCTTGATGTTTCTGAGAGGAAACACCTCTGGATAACGCGTAGCGTAATCAGCAACAACAAGAATGTACTTATTACCAGATCTACTCCTTTCCAAAGGTCCTACGATGTCCATCGCAATACGAGAAAATGGTATGTCAATAATAGGCAAGCTTACCAGAGGTACTCTGTCACTCTTTTTAGCTGGTCTCACCATCTGACATTCTGGGCATGATTTACAAAAATCGATAACGTCTGTATAGAGCTTAGGCCAAAAGAACTTACCAGCAATTCTCGCCAGTGTTTTCTGCTGGCCTAAATGTCCTGCCCAAGGTACGGAATGTCCCAATTGTAATACCTTCAATCTCATAGACTCTGGCACCACCAATCTCTCACCTTCAGCACTTATTAAGTACAACTTGTCATCCTTGATCACCAGTTGATCTTTCTGAATTAATGCCGACCTTGTACTATCAGCCTTAGCTTTCTCAAACAACGGTTTTAAAGTTTCATCCTGCCTTTGCAACTGCACAATATCATGAGGAATTTGTTCGAGATCATCTGAATTCGGTTGTTTCACATTTTCAATTACCTCAGTACCCATTACTTTATCCTGCCGTTTCTCCCTCCTGGATTTCCTGTTTTTGGAAGCCACATTGAATGGTAAATCTTGTAAAAGTTGTTTAGTAACCTCTTCTTGATTAGCCTGTGCTCTGGTTACAACCCTTGCATCTGCTACCTTGTCATCACTCTGCAACAAATCCACCAACACAGGTATATCTCTGCCTAATATCACTGGATAAGGGGATTTGTCAATTACTCCAACTGATAACTTATAGGCTTGGCCTTCAATTTCAATCACCATCTCCGTTTTAGGATACTCTTTTTCATCGCCATGTATACAACAGACTCTCAGCTTATCCTGTTTCAGCACATTTGACTTTCCCAAACACTCTGGTCTCACTAATGTCTGGCTTGAACCTGAATCAACCAATGCTTTAAACAACGTATTTCCAATCTTCACCTCCACTACTGTGTCTGTGTTCAGTTCAATCTCATTTAGCTTCACAGAAGATCTTAACTCATAACACAAGCGAGTAGCAGACATGTTTTGCACTGGACACTCAGCTCTTTTATGCCCTGCCTGACCACATGTATGACATATTATCACAGACCTTCTGTTATACTGGCTAACTCCACTTGCACGCATACTGTTACTCAGAGTAGAACTATTTTGC